TAATTCACAATAAGCATTAATTCATTGTTTGCTCAGTCATTCTGCAATGTTTAATTAGCTCATTGTTTAAGGTTTAACAGCTTTAAGGACCTTCTTATGAATTGCTGAATTTATATCCTGTTTTACTTCACTGACACCATCCAACTTTCTAAACCACAACTGTGATAACTACTTGAAGGAAAAACAGTAATCCTTTGTTAATTTGTAGACTTTAGGAATTCTGCAGAAAGCTTGCAAAAATTAGATGCTGATTATGTGGTGTATGTTGTGTTCGACAGAAAAAGGGAAGAATACACAGGAGTGCAAGATGTAAGGCAGCAGTAGCCTCCTGAGGGCTAGATTATTTTTTTATTATTATTTTTTAAGCTTTTTCTCCCTGTCACCTTGATGTGCAGGCTGAAAGGATGTTAGCATATGTCAATCTACTGTGATGTGATTGAAACCCAAAAGCTTATTTGAGAGAACCTGCCAAAGACCTCTCAGCTGGTAAAAAGTAGCTGCTTTGTTTGAGAAGGGTTGGACTCAGACTCAGCAATGAAAGGCCCCATAACCCACTTCCATTTTACTCCTCTGGTACAGAGACACTACCTCAGGACCACTGACACTATAATTTGGTGATATTTACCTTCCCTCAGTGTTTCCTGTGGTCATCTTTGACTTTCATGGTTCTATGGTCATGGTCTAAAAGCTCCACAACCTCGCACCCCATGAACAATGAACTTGCTGCACTTACTCCTAATTGTGAATCATATCAACCATAAAATTTGATTTGCATTACAGCTAATGCTTTGATGTCTAAGTTATAATCGCATTCCCATTGTGCAAGGCACTATACAAACCCAGAACAGTAGATCTTGTTCCAAGGATTTACAGTAAACAGACCAGAATAGCTCAACCGACCTTGATTTCTCACCTGACAGCTTTCCTCTCTGGTTCAACTCACATCCCAAAGAGTTTGAGACCAAAGCTAGGCAGGGAACTATCCTCTCATGCCATATAGATGCTACCACCTTTTAATATTAACTAGGAAAGTTAACTAAAGCTAGGCAGGGAACTATCCTCTCATGCCATACAGATGCTACCACCTTTTAATATTTGCATCCAGGTTATTCCTGCAGTGCAGCATTTTTTCTCCTGAAGGTTCATGCACACTTAACTAGGAAAGTTAATGAACTTTTGGAAATCCTGCCTAGTATCTAATACTCTCCTGAGCAAAGGGTGGACACTCATGGCTTAAGTCACAGGTACCAGCAAGGTAAGGGAGTAAGCTGTGAAACCCCCCAGGGCAGCTCGGATCTCAGCAATGGTTTCAGTGCCTCAACTACAAAAAACCCCAAAAAAGACCAAGACACCAAAAACCCCCCAAGCCCCCCATGTTCTGCCATATTTTTCTGGGTAATAAAATAAACAACAGGAAAGGGAATGGGGGAGCTGAGGTTTGATCGAAAAAGCAGTCAGGTGAGAGGGCTGCAGGAGGGGATCTGACATGTACTGAGCTCCCGTAGGAACAGGGGGTCAGAGAAAGAGGTGAAAGACTCTGAAATGGAAATGGTGGAAAGGTGAAGGGCACGTTGTCAAGAGATGGGACAAAGAATGGATGAAGCTAGAACAGGAATTACAGATTATGAAGGAACTATTTGAATGCTGTAAACACCAGGGAGGGAAAAGAATTGTTTAGGGTGGTTCAGTGGTATTTCTAGGAGTGATGGGATGCAGATAAGCAAGTGGAAAATGTAAGTTATTAAACAGGAAACATTTCCTGACAGTGAAGGCTAATAAACTGTGGAAAAGTCTCCTAAGGGAAGTGGCAGGAGCCGCTCAGACAATTAAAACTAGACTAGACAACATACCTTAGGGCATAATCATACCCAAGACCACAGACAACTGACTGGATGTGACAAGTATCTTTCCTTCTTGCTTCAGAAATAAAGCCATTAAGCCCAGGGGGAAAAAAGGACCATTGTAAATGAAGGTTCCTATACGTAGGGAGGTATCACACCTGGCTCAAATGAAACAAAGATGCAAATTTTCTTTGAAAGTGACACAGGGTATGAGAGTTTAGTTCCTCCTGAGCAGTATCTACACAAAAGATCCCGTTCTCTAATCTTACATTACTGCCAGCCAAAAAAAAACAAAAAACTAATTCACAATAAGCATTAATTCATTGTTTGCTCAGTCATTCTGCAATGTTTAATTAGCTCATTGTTTAAGGTTTAACAGCTTTAAGGACCTTCTTATGAATTGCTGAATTTATATCCTGTTTTACTTCACTGACACCATCCAACTTTCTAAACCACAACTGTGATAACTACTTGAAGGAAAAACAGTAATCCTTTGTTAATTTGTAGACTTTAGGAATTCTGCAGAAAGCTTGCAAAAATTAGATGCTGATTATATGGTGTATGTTGTGTTCGACAGAAAAAGGGAAGAATACACAGGAGTGCAAGATGTAAGGCAGCAGTAGCCTCCTGAGGGCTAGATTATTTTTTTATTATTATTTTTTAAGCTTTTTCTCCCTGTCACCTTGATGTGCAGGCTGAAAGGATGTTAGCATATGTCAATCTACTGTGATGTGATTGAAACCCAAAAGCTTATTTGAGAGAACCTGCCAAACACCTCTCAGCTGGTAAAAAGCAGCTGCTTTGTTTGAGAAGGGTTGGATTCAGACTCAGCAATGAAAGGCCCCATAACCCACTTCCATTTTACTCCTCTGGTACAGAGACACTACCTTAGGACCACTGACACTATAATTTGGTGATATTTACCTTCCCTCAGTGTTTCCTGTGGTCGTCTTTGACTTTCATGGTTCTATGGTCATGGTCTAAAAGCTCCACAACCTCGCACCCCACGAACAATGAACTTGCTGCACTTACTCCTAATTGTGAATCATATCAACCATAAAATTTGATTTGCATTACAGCTAATGCTTTGATGTCTAAGTTATAATCGCATTCCCATTGTGCAAGGCACTATACAAACCCAGAACAGTAGATCTTGTTCCAAGGATTTACAGTAAACAGACCAGAATAGCTCAACCGACCTTGATTTCTCACCTGACAGCTTTCCTCTCTGGTTCAACTCACATCCCAAAGAGTTTGAGACCAAAGCTAGGCAGGGAACTATCCTCTCATGCCATACAGATGCTACCACCTTTTAATATTTGCATCCAGGTTATTCCTGCAGTGCAGCATTTTTTCTCCTGAAGGTTCATGCACACTTAACTAGGAAAGTTAATGAACTCCCAATCACGGGGTGCCAGTGCAGCCATTATTAAAGCATATACCGACCACTGGGCTCCAGCAGTTGCCAAAAATATGTCTGCAGTCATTCATCTGTGCCAACACTAACACATATGAAATATAATCAAGCATTGAGAAGATTGGCTTACCTAGTATTTGCTGGGCATTTATTGATTAAAATATCGATTTAGGCACTTGGTGACATTCTGTGCTTGGAACTTGTGGTTCTGCTGTTTCCCAGGGGAGATGGGAAATAGCTCAGTGCTGCTGGGGGTCTGGCTGCTGTCTTGTGTACACAGGCCTGAAAAAAATGCAACAATCAATTTTAGAAATGGCAGGTCCTCAAGCTAAGTTTTTTGTATGTTTAGAAGAGTGTCAAAAACCCCCCAGCCTTGTCAAAACCAAATTCTTTATAATTACACAACAGAACAACAGTGTAGAAATCACTACAGTTCTTACAATATGAACGTAGCAACATTGTTTACTTTTCTTCTCAATATTACTAAACATTTTCTAAGCTAGAAAGTGAGTCAACGTTATTTATAGTTTTCAGCATAAATTTAATTTTCAAGAGAGATGAACTAAAACGGTATCATTTTTTCAAGATTATATTAATTGCCACAAGCTCATCCCAGTCGCCATCTGTTATTACAGCCAGCCACATTTTATATCAAGGTTCTATTTATAACTTCTTCTAAATACTTAATAGATGGGTGATATTGCTATGCTACTGATATAAAGGTGTTATAAGCAGTTATCAGCCTTCCAGCAGATGTGTTATACAAGGGCACAAATTATGGTAATTAGCAATCTAATGACAGGACTACTCCATAATAATCCCTAAAAATTGATTAGCCATTAATTAAAATGTCTATAATTTACTAAACAGAGGCAAACAGAAACTATAGTATTAATCATTATTATAAGAGGTTTTGAATTGTTATTGATCAAAGTTAAATAGCCAAAGAGAATTATTCCTGTTAAAGTCCATTTAAACTTTACTTCTGTTATAAACAACCATTGAAGCCTGCTGCAGCAAACTAAATCTTACTTTTCTGACTAAATCAACACATACAAAGTTAAATCAGCTCTCTTCTTCTGAACTTCATGTTTCTGGCAATGAAAAAGCAAGATTAAGGTGTTCTATTGAAAAAATTTTCAACCATCGGTGTGGGATCACAGCTGAGTTAGAATGAGGAGTCTTCATTTCTTTGGGGAAAGAAAAATTCATTTCTTAAAATCCCTCATTGCACCAAGTTATCTTTAAAATAGTTCCTGGAACAGGGGAAGATACGGCATCTTGCATAAATAAATTTACAAGTATATGAAAGGATGGCGAGTACAAACTGATATAAGGAAGTTTATTTAAACCCTACATATATTCAGATGTGGAGCTTTTGCCTAAAGTATTTGCTGGAGCCAAAGTTTCGAAAACAGATTATTTAGAACTCCATCCCATCCAGAGTTCTACTATTTCATGCTGGCACACCTTTTGGAAAGGATATTAGCAGGTGATTCATTCAAGATCAGGAGGAAGCCAAAGCACTCACTTCTGAGCAGCCTCTGTTGTTTATATTTTTAAGATATTAAACATCTTACTCTAATAAAATCAGGCAGAAAAAATGAAGAACTTGTCAAAACTGTGTGCCCAGTGATCTGAGGATCACAAGTTGCAAATCCATTCCACATCTGCTTTTTGGGGGGACAATTTGTACAGCTTTTAATTAATCTAATTTTTGCTATCTGATTATTTTTTTTCAGTTGGAGTCCCTTGGTGTTACCAGTCACAGAAGTCTGAACAGCCACACTGCAAAGGTATTGCTAAACAATTTATTTTTCCAATCACATCAGTGTTTGGATTCTTCTGTTTTGCAAAAGGCCTCTTTATAGAAGTAACGCAAAACTACAACCAACATTGACTGTTTGGTGGGTTGGCTTTATCAAGGATTTGCAGTCTACAGAAAAATATTATTTTCTCCATCCTCAAACAGATCCTCGACAATGGCATTCATCATATGCCACCTGCAAAGGAAACAAACAGTCACCTATCAATATTGTCTCCAAAAAAGCTGTTTATGACAAAAACCTTAAGCCACTGAATTTTGAAGGCTACGATGTGAAGGGAACTTCAAAATGGAGCATAACAAATAATGGACATACAGGCAAGTACTATCAAATTTTTACTGTTGTTATGTTACTTGTGCCTTCACTTGGAACCATCCATTCACTTCTTCCAGGCCCTAGGCAAGGTGTCAGATGTCACTACCGCTAATTAAAGGCAAACAAGCAAAAATAAGATAGCAGCCCTATATTTCAAAAGCAAAACTGTCTGAACCAAGGTCTTCTGGGAACTTTGTGGGAATTATCTAGTTTTTAAATCCTGGACGTGGTCCTTGTGCATCTCAGCAGAAATTGGTTCTGTGCATATGCAGAAAGAGAACTCGGGATGTCTAGGGAACCTCTAGGCCTAGGAGGCAGGTGAGTCCAGGGGTTTAAGACACACGTTTTGGCAGAGGTATATAACTTCTGTTGAATGCAGAATTTAATGCTTCATTTCTAGGCTTGACCTTTCTGACTCTTGCTTCTGCACAAATAATTCTGCTGAAGAACACAGCCTGGGAAAATCATACAAGCAGAGGCTTGCAGTACACGTGTCTTACCAGTTCTTTAAATGATGAGCTGAAATCTCAGATTTCAACCTGTTTTCTCTGCACGCAGAAGCAATTTAATGTGAACTTGCTGATCTGCTACTTACTGATGCGGTAAACAGTGAATCAGTGAACAGCAAATAAGTAAACAGTGAATCAGTGAATAGTAATTTAGCACTGTTTCACTTCCTCCATTTTCTTCACTAAAAGCAATACAATGATGATGCTGGTTAATGACTTTCCCATTACAGAAGTGCAGTCTAGAATCTCCATATTGCAGTCACTGTGCCTAGAAATCTTTTACACAAAAATTAACATTCATAAGGATTGGTCAGAACTCTCATCTCTCCCAGCCATGCAAAAGGATTAGGATTTTAATCTGGGTTTTTAACCTTTCTTCCTTCTGAGGGCAGCTAATTCCTGTGCTATGATGAGCACATCACTGACACACTTATTGCTTAAATTACAGCTGCAATTAGAAGCTCTACGTGAGCTTAGACTATCATTATGTTCAACAGTGTGCAGGTAGTGAAGGTCAGTGTATCAAAGGTCCTACAATCTAAATAAATACATCCAACAAAGATATGTTACTCATCCATTTACTGGTAAAAAAGCAAAGTAAGTAAATGACTCTCGCAAGCTTCCAGTTCATTGGGAATTCAGAACAGAAATGAAATCTCTGGGGCTTCAATCCAGGTCAAAACAACCTTTCCTATGGAACGAAGAGTACTGTGCTTAATGTAGAGGTCTTTATAAGTAGATTTAAATATCCCAACTGTCTCAAGCATAGGAAGTGAGGGTGATTTATAACTAGAAAATATTTCCTAAGAAAAGTTTGTTTTGCTTTTAGCAACAGATCAAGCCTCACATTAAACAGATGTAAGGACTTGGATGCTTATGCTTAAGTTGCAGTATTACTTTGAATTAAAACTGAATATCTTTAAACTCTTCCCAAAACAAACATTACAATGCAGACAATAGGAGATAAAAACACTGCTTAAAACCCAAATAGACTGTGATCAAGCTATTTATAACTAGAAAATATTTCCTAAGAAAAGTTTGTTTTGCTTTTAGCAACAGATCAAGCCTCACATTAAACAGATGTAAGGACTTGGATGCTTATGCTTAAGTTGCAGTATTACTTTGAATTAAAACTGAATATCTTTAAACTCTTCCCAAAACAAACATTACAATGCAGACAATAGGAGACAATAAAAACACTGCTTAAAACCCATATAGACTGTGATCAAGCTTACTTTTAAGAATACTTTGATAGAGGGTGCTCATAGAAAACAGAAGGAATATAGTACTTACTTTTAAGAATACTTTGATAGAGGGTGTTCTCATAGACAAAACAGAAGGAATATAGGGATTTATAACTAGAAAATATTTCCTAAGAAAAATTTGTTTTGCTCTTAGCAACAGATCAAGCATCACATTAAACGGATGTAAGGAGTTGGATGCTTATGCTTAAGTTGCAGTATTACTTTGAATTAAAACTGAATATCTTTACACTCTTCCCAAAACAAACATTACGGTGCAGACAATAGGAGACAATAAAAACACTGCTTAAAACCCAAATAGACTGTGATCAAGCTTACTTTTAAGAATACTTTGATAGAGGGTGCTCATAGAAAACAGAAGGAATATAGTGTCTTCTGAAAGGTGTAAGTAGCTCTGGCTCCTGGGGTTATAACGGCAGTGAAGAAATCCCTACAAATCCCCTCAGTGCAATCAAGGAAAGACAGTCTATTACCCTGTATTACTTTGAATTAAAACTGAATATCTTTAAACTCTTCCCAAAACAAACATTACAATGCAGACAATAGGAGATAAAAACACTGCTTAAAACCCAAATAGACTGTGATCAAGCTTACTTTTAAGAATACTTTGATAGAGGGTGTTCTCATAGACAAAACAGAAGGAATATAGGGTCTTCTGAAAGGTGTAAGTAGCTCTGGCTCCTGGGGTTATAACGGCAGTGAAGAAATCCCTACAAATCCCCTCAGTGCAATCAAGGAAAGACAGTCTATTACCATGTTTTCTTTAAAATGCAGTTAACTGATGACATCCAAGGGATATACGGATCACAAGTTGCAAATCCATTCCACATCTGCTTTTTGGGGGGACAATTTGTACAGCTTTTAATTAATCTAATTTTTGCTATCTGATTATTTTTTTTCAGTTGGAGTCCCTTGGTGTTACCAGTCACAGAAGTCTGAACAGCCACACTGCAAAGGTATTGCTAAACAATTTATTTTTCCAATCACATCAGTGTTTGGATTCTTCTGTTTTGCAAAAGGCCTCTTTATAGAAGTAACGCAAAACTACAACCAACATTGACTGTTTGGTGGGTTGGCTTTATCAAGGATTTGCAGTCTACAGAAAAATATTATTTTCTCCATCCTCAAACAGATCCTCGACAATGGCATTCATCATATGCCACCTGCAAAGGAAACAAACAGTCACCTATCAATATTGTCTCCAAAAAAGCTGTTTATGACAAAAACCTTAAGCCACTGAATTTTGAAGGCTACGATGTGAAGGGAACTTCAAAATGGAGCATAACAAATAATGGACATACAGGCAAGTACTATCCAATTTTTACTGTTGTTATGTTACTTGTGCCTTCACTTGGAACCATCCATTCACTTCTTCCAGGCCCTAGGCAAGGTGTCAGATGTCACTACCGCTAATTAAAGGCAAACAAGCAAAAATAAGATAGCAGCCCTATATTTCAAAAGCAAAACTGTCTGAACCAAGGTCTTCTGGGAACTTTGTGGGAATTATCTAGTTTTTAAATCCTGGACGTGGTCCTTGTGCATCTCAGCAGAAATTGGTTCTGTGCATATGCAGAAAGAGAACTCGGGATGTCTAGGGAACCTCTAGGCCTAGGAGGCAGGTGAGTCCAGGGGTTTAAGACACACGTTTTGGCAGAGGTATATAACTTCTGTTGAATGCAGAATTTAATGCTTCATTTCTAGGCTTGACCTTTCTGACTCTTGCTTCTGCACAAATAATTCTGCTGAAGAACACAGCCTGGGAAAATCATACAAGCAGAGGCTTGCAGTACACGTGTCTTACCAGTTCTTTAAATGATGAGCTGAAATCTCAGATTTCAACCTGTTTTCTCTGCACGCAGAAGCAATTTAATGTGAACTTGCTGATCTGCTACTTACTGATGCGGTAAACAGTGAATCAGTGAACAGCAAATAAGTAAACAGTGAATCAGTGAATAGTAATTTAGCACTGTTTCACTTCCTCCATTTTCTTCACTAAAAGCAATACAATGATGATGCTGGTTAATGACTTTCCCATTACAGAAGTGCAGTCTAGAATCTCCATATTGCAGTCACTGTGCCTAGAAATCTTTTACACAAAAATTAACATTCATAAGGATTGGTCAGAACTCTCATCTCTCCCAGCCATGCAAAAGGATTAGGATTTTAATCTGGGTTTTTAACCTTTCTTCCTTCTGAGGGCAGCTAATTCCTGTGCTATGATGAGCACATCACTGACACACTTATTGCTTAAATTACAGCTGCAATTAGAAGCTCTACGTGAGCTTAGACTATCATTATGTTCAACAGTGTGCAGGTAGTGAAGGTCAGTGTATCAAAGGTCCTACAATCTAAATAAATACATCCAACAAAGATATGTTACTCATCCATTTACTGGTAAAAAAGCAAAGTAAGTAAATGACTCTCGCAAGCTTCCAGTTCATTGGGAATTCAGAACAGAAATGAAATCTCTGGGGCTTCAATCCAGGTCAAAACAACCTTTCCTATGGAACGAAGAGTACTGTGCTTAATGCAGAGGTCTTTATAAGTAGATTTAAATATCCCAAATGTCTCAAGCATAGGAAGTGAGGGTGATTTATAACTAGAAAATATTTCCTAAGAAAAATTTGTTTTGCTCTTAGCAACAGATCAAGCATCACATTAAACGGATGTAAGGAGTTGGATGCTTATGCTTAAGTTGCAGTATTACTTTGAATTAAAACTGAATATCTTTACACTCTTCCCAAAACAAACATTACGGTGCAGACAATAGGAGACAATAAAAACACTGCTTAAAACCCAAATAGACTGTGATCAAGCTTACTTTTAAGAATACTTTGATAGAGGGTGCTCATAGAAAACAGAAGGAATATAGTATCTTCTGAAAGGTGTAAGTAGCTCTGGCTCCTGGGGTTATAACTGCAGTGAACAAATCCCTACAAATCCCCTCAGTGCAATCAAGGAAAGACAGTCTATTACCATGTTTTCTTTAAAATGCAGTTAACTGATGACATCCAAGGGATATACCAATGGATGCCATAAAAGTCTACAAAACCCTTACCCTGGAACAATCCAAAGTAGTGCTCTGCCCTTTTCCTCCACTTTACAAAGGGAAACAAGCATAATCAAATTTTTTTTATTTATTATTATTTATTCAACTGAAGTAATGGGTTGCTCAGCTCCCCAGCAAGTGAGGCTCTACACAAGTCAATCAAGTTCACAGAGAAAATCCTAGGTAGCAATGGGAACAGAGGCTCCAAGTGCTGTGCCACAGGATGTCCAAATGCTGTTGCATGTTAGAGGGAAGTGGACAGTGATATTTCTCCCTCTCATCTCAAATTAATGTCAGTTAGCATTTTGTAAGAGTTCAGCTTCTGCAGAGTTGAACTGCTGGAACACTCGGTATGAAAAACCAAGCCAGAAGTTTAGGATTAATTTGAATCTTGAGAACATAAATCTTGACTCTCAAATACCACTAACGTATGGTCTGATTATTTCTTTTCAAATACTTATCGGTATGAAAAACCAAGCCAGAAGTTTAGGACGAATTTGAATCTGGTCTGATTATTTCTTTTCAAATACTTACTTGTTTCCCCCAGTTAAAGTAACATTGGGCACATCCCCTAAAATTGGAGGTGGAGGTCTGGAAAAAAAATACAAGGCGATAGAACTTCATTGGCATTGGGGAGCTGAAGATTCCCAGCACTACCTTCCTGGGTCAGAGCACAGCATAGATGGAGAAAAACAAGCCATGGAGGTAGGTGAGAGTGTTTGTGGGTTGTGGCTTTGATTCAAGAACTCTGTTTTTTTAAGACACTGTTGTACAAAATCTATGAGCTAGTCCTGTGAAACCCCAGCAGTGGAAATAGAGATCCAAGGACACATTGTTTGCTAATCAGAACAGAGGTTAACAGGACAGGGGAAAACACACTAGATTGGGACAGCAAAGGCACAGGAGAGACAACAAATCTGGACTTTTATAGCATTTGGGGAGGAGAAATATTTAAAAGTCTATTCAGTCTGATCACACTCTCACACTGCTTATTCAGATGATATATGCACTTCTGGGACCGCAACCATGAATTGGCCTATGCAACCAAAAAATCCAGCATTCTCTTCAAGGCAAGACAAGTCACCAGTGCCGATCCACATGGACTGGTAGAAGGAAACTACTCCCTCTTCAAGCTGTGCCATAAAAATCTGCCTGTTCCACTGTACAGGCTGAAAATGGAGGGCTGCAGCAGCCCACAGAGCACTTGACCTTCTGGGGAGATGTAGGAAATGATACTGGTTTTGATGAATGAATTTTCAAATGATAGTCCCTGTATTGCATAGTTCCTGCCTTGGGACAAGGGCCCCCAGCACTGTGTCCCCAGCCTGTGAGCAGCAAAGCAGCTCCAGCCCCGCCACCAGCTGTAGAGGAAAACAGACAAATAATTGGCCTTGACTGGTGTTTTACAGCTTCATGTTGTCCACATAAGAGATGATGCTTCGGATATAACAGAAGCGAAGAAATATTCAGACGGTGTGGCTGTGTTAGCATTCTTTATAAAGGTAGGTAGCCAAATTTTTAGTTGCCCATCTCAAATCTACCAGCAGTTTGGCAGAGTGATTGCATTAATGTTACAGTAGTTTAAGACCTAAGCCTCCCTGCCTTCTGCAGGCATTCAGTGCCAGCACTTAGTTCCTTTGCTCTTTTCTATATGCTGCTCACTGTTATCTTCTAGCCTTGTGCTTCTTCTCTGTTTTATTCACAATTAAAGCAACCAGTTGTTGAGAAATGCGTGATTTGGAATAAAAATCTTTGCATTTCAGGTTGATGAAGAAAATAGAAACTATGCAACTCTAATAAATGAATTAGAGAATATTAAATACAAAGGTAAGACACTTGTGTTGGTCAAAATGCAACATACGGGCCCAAAATTGAACACAGTACTCGAGGTGGGGCCTCACCAGTGCTGAGTACAGGGGGACGATCACTGCCCCAGTCCTGCTGGCCACACTATTGCTGATACAGGCCAGGATGTTGTTGGCTTTCTTGGCCACACTGCTGGCTCATGTTCAGCTGGCTGCCAACCAACACCCTCAGGTCCTTTTCCACCGGGCAGCTTTCCCCATGCCTGTAGAGCTGCATGGGGTTGGTGTGACCCAAGTGCAGGATTCAGCACTTGGCCTTGTTGAACCTCACACCATTGGCCCTGGCCCATTGATCCAGTCTGTCCAGATTCCTCTGTAGATCCTTCCTACCCTCAAGCACATCAACACTCCCACCCAACTTGGTGTTTAGGGGCATGGCTTAGTGGTAGACTTGGCAGTGTTAAGTTAACGGTTGGACTTGATGATCTTAAAGGTCTTTTCCAACCTAAACAATTCCATGATTCTATATATTTCTTTCAAGCGCAGGTAGTTCATGGTCCAGTCATTTTCTAATTGCAGTAAAGATCGGTACTTGAAAGTCAAAGTCAAATATAAAGTTTGTCACTGACTCAGAGCATCACAAGTGGGAGAAAATCTGGTTCTCCATATTTGCAGTAAAGAAACGTCCCAGAAGCAGAATGAGTATTCCTGCTTCTGCAGGAGAAAGCAAAGCAAGAAGGAAAACATGCAGAGTGCTAACACGAGAGGTGTGTGTAACTTGTGCTGGGTGGCTCCTGCAGTCAGCAGTCAGGGATCTCACAAGCAGTGCAGGGCAGTGCCCCAGGCGTGGGGAGCGCGCGTGGGGATGAGCCTTGACACAGCCACGAGCAGCAGCCACATTTGAAGACAAACGTGACCAATACCTGCAGCCAGGCTCATTACAAACTATATTTCCTCATGGCTTGTCTAGGGCGAACAGAACAGATGGAGCCTCTGCCACTGAGTTCTCTTCTCCCACCTGAGAAAGAACTTGGGAAGTACTACAGGTATGAGGGGTCCCTCACCACTCCCGACTGCCACGAGGGTGTCATCTGGACGATATTCGAGAAGCCAATTGAACTCAGTTCTTTGCAGGTAAGTGACAGAGGGATAACCTGAAGGGCCTGGTTATGGTGATTTTGCCCCTTCAGCTGCCAGCTCACTCACACCATTTAACACAGACTTTTTAGCTGCTTCACTGCTTTGTTCCTGTGACACACACACACTGGCTTGGCATCAGTCTAAACACGTGCCAGTTTTTTGACTGTATTAAATCACCTTTCAAAAAATGGCAGGAAAGGGGAAGGAAGGGGAAATGACGGTGTGAAAAGAAAGCCAAAAAAACCCCACAGGTAAACACCTAGCTCCGTGTTTCGTCAGCAGCACTTCCACTGCAGTCATCTGCTCACCCCCAAATTGCACTGCTTTTCTGCTGTTGTCATAACTATTAGGATATCAAAACAGAATGCTTAAAAATGCAAACTTTTAGACTACCAGCATCAGGTTTAAGCACCCCAATTTAGTCCTGCAGAGAGGAACGGGAGACTGAATCACGACTGCCTCTAAAATACAGATTGTTCAGCTGACAGAGTCCACAATTGAAAAATTCTGCTGTCCTGGAGTGGACTCTCAGCAACATTACTCACTGGCCAGCACAGCCTGGCCGAGAGCCAGCATCTGTATTTTAATTCCTTACCTGCAGTGTACTCATCGTGACTTCAGTCACAGGGTAATGCTCAGCCACACACAAGTAACACCACAGCACACAAGGGTGAGCATCTGCTCGCTCCATGCCAGGTTCTTGCTGAAGCAGTTAGAAATTTAAAGCGAGGAAAGAAATCCTGGTCCTCTTACTCTGTGTCATTGTGACGGGATGGACAAGGACAGGCCTGTGTGCGTCAAGAGGACTGGTGCAACCAGGCCCTTGAGCTGGACAAAGCATTTGGCTCACACAGAAAGGAAGTCCCCGTGATTTCAAAGGGTAAAAGAAATCATCTGCTAGTGACCTCTGGCAGAAGCCTCCATCACGTCATTTCCTGACGTTTAATGCATCCATACAGTTCAAAACAATGCCACAGAGTAAGGCACTGCAGATTTATAACATCACGATTTCCAGTGTTCCATGGAAAAAGAATTTAACGATCTATTCTTTCTTCCATGTCTGCAGATTTCTGAATTCTCAAAAGTTCACTTCGAGGGGCAGAACTCGACTCGCATGGTTGAAAATTTCCGGCCTGTCCAGTTTCTGAATGAACGCAAGGTGTACTGGTCCAGTGCCAGCACCCACCTGCCTACTGCTAAGGTCTTAATGCTGCTCCTGACGCTTACGTTCATCCTGAGTTCTCTTTGCCAATGAACACTTCTCACCTCATTCAAAGTTCTGGGCTTTTTGGAGGTGGTTTTTCTTTTTGTTGCTGTTTGGTTGGGTTTTTGTATCACGTATTGTCTCTAACTACCAACGCCTGAATCATATCCGAGTACAGAATTTAACCCTTTCATCCTCCAGACACTAACCAAGGACTTCTGCTGCTGCACTTATATAAAATGAAACCCACTGCACTAAATTGCGAGAATTCAAAGGAACTGTAAGATAAAGCTATGAAAATTCAAGTTTAAAAAAACACTTAAAAAAACCATTAGGATGGATTATCTGCAAGCCTGTAATTTTAACACAACACTGGAAGGACACTTTACAAGCTGTACAGAGAACCTACAGGAGGAATCTGTTCTTAAGTGCCTATGAAGGGTTTTGCTTGGAATATGTTTACATTCAGCACTGCAAATCAGGAAGACAGTAATACATGGAGTACATGAAGGTACAAGACAGAGCAAAGAAAAAGTGTTCACCCACAACTGAGCAACATCTGGGTCATCCTATGTAGAGAAGGACGTGTGACAAATTTCATGTGTACTCCACAATTCCCCCCCAACCTTCTTCCTTCAGAGTATCTGAAGTTAATTTTAAGATTAAGATACTAGATTCCTTTCATTTCATGTACTGATTCTGGATTTTGAGTTTTTCTATTAAGCCTATTTATTCAGCCTAGTGCAGCGTCCTTCTCTGGGATGCTCATGCCCAATATGATGTGCTAAAAAGAAAAAGGGAAGCTCAATCACATACATCATAGCACATCTGTGAGAATTCCCTCTCTTTGGAGGGCTGTATTTGAAGCATAAGACTTTGATGATCCTTTACAGTTTTCACTTGCCTAATAAAATGAGAAAGTTCAAGAAATGGCTCTTTCCAGTATCACATTTTAGATGCTTTTAAATTTCAGCTTGAACATTTCCCTACGAATTCCCCCTCTCCTTTATTTTTGTGTAATGACATTCCTGTAAAATACTCACATATGGTTAAGATTCGTATTTTTTCCAAGAACCTAGTGATTTGAACTAATTTCTTCAGATCAATTACTTCCAGAAAAGCTCAATATATTGGGAAATGGGATTTCCTTATGCTATTCCAGTTCTCTCTCTGAAGACAGACGTAAAAGTCTTCCACGGCTATTGCCATATAACATGTTACAGCTTCTTTTAGAATTTTAGATTTTCCAGATTAAGATTCATATTAGCAGACTTGTACTTTTTATTTAGGGTAATGTTTGCAAAGATGACTTTATGCTACAGCTATGTGGCCATTTTCAGGAAAATCAGCAGTGAGACTAACCACAGCTCACCAAAGGAGAAAAAGCAGGGTGAAAATTATTTTCATATTTAACAATGAGTAATATATGCTTATAAAAACCACATGAGAAAGCAATTTCACCTTTTTAAGTTTAGAGGAATGATTAAGACTTTAACTGTATTTTTAGCTAACTGAAAAACTTTTGAGAAGCAAACATAAATGAAAGATTAAAGTTTAAGTGACCTCTATTTTTGTTGCCTTGAGTTTTTATTTCTTTCATCCTTGCTGAAGCAGCATACACACAGCACTCATTCAGAAAAGGAATGTGATCTTTTTCTTTTTCCCTATTTTATTCACGTTCAGGGTTGTGTTTGCATTTTGGGGAAGCCAGGGTAAACACTCATTCAGAAAAGGAATGTGATCTTTTCCTTTTTCCCCATTTTCTTCACGTTTAGGCTTGGGTTTGCATTTTTGGGAAGCCAGGGGAGGGGAGGGAAGGGAGGGATTTGCTATACATTGGATGTTTCTGATGTCAGCAGGCTTCTGGAGCTTTTATTTCAGATGGACCATCAGGCTCTTATCTGCTTGTAGTAAAACTGCTCAGCAGAGCTGGTGCACACACCCAGCCCATCGGGCAGATTTCTTACTGTGAAGGAAAGGGTACCATGGATTCACCCAGTGCAACCTCACCTCTGTGCAAACACTTGGCTAGTTAGTTAACCAGGATAAACAATTGCCTACTTACCCAGCTGGTGAACATTTCTGTGTTAGCTGTGTCCATTATGTCTCTCAACATCCTACAAGTAGAGAATGCATTAAGAAATTAAGAGGAAAGATGCTTTGCTTTTACAAGATGTAATAAATAGAAGTATTCTGAAACGCTCACCTTTTAATGCTCTTTCAAGATTTACAAGCAACACAGTAAACAGCACAATCACACACGGAAGTCCCATAGGCCTGGAAGCTCTTGTTTTAAAGATCGATGATGTGAATGTTCCTCAAGGAAGGGAGGGATTTGCTATACATTGGATGTTTCTGATGTCAGCAGGCTTCTGGAGCTTTTATTTCAGATGGACCATCAGGCTCTTATCTGCTTGTAGTAAAACTGCTCAGCAGAGCTGGTGCACACACCCAGCCCATCGGGCAGATTTCTTACTGTGAAGGAAAGGGTACCATGGATTCACCCAGTGCAACCTCACCTCTGTGCAAACACTTGGCTAGTTAGTTAACCAGGATAAACAATTGCCTACTTACCCATCTGGTGAACATTTCTGTGTTAGCTGTGTCCATTATGTCTCTCAACATCCTACAAGTAGAGAACGCATTAAGAAATTAAGAGGAAAGATACTTTGCTTTTACAAGATGTAATAAATAGGAGTATTCTGAAACGCTCACTTTTTAATGCTCTTTCAAGATTTACAAGCAACACAGTAAACAGCACAATCACACACAGAAGTCCCATAGGCCTGGAAGCTCTTGTTTTAAAGATAGATGATGTGAATGCTCCTCAAGATGCCTTCACTAAGAACAATGTCTTTTGCATTAAACAAGCCCCCTGTATCTGCTGGAAGTATGTATAAGAGCACACCATCCCTCGCCATTCAAATTATTTACTAAATTCATGAAATTATTCTCAAATGCTCCTCAAGATGCCTTCACTAAGAACAATGTCTTTTGCATTAAACAAGCCCCCTGCATCTGCTGGAAGTATGTATAAGAGCACACCATGCCTCGCCATTCAAATTATTTACTAAATTCATTAAATTATTCTCATTTCATAGGCAGCTCTCTTAAGGATTATCAGAAGAAATTATGGAGGATCTGGGTCAACCATTCAAATTATTTACTAAATTCATGAAATTATTCTCATTTCATAGGCAGCTCTCTTAAGGATTATCGAAAAAAATATGGAGGATCTGGGTCAGCTGTCATTTATTGCTAGTGATAGATGATAAATCTTGGGGACAACTTTTCACTAGGTTGTGCCTCAGTTTACCACGTGGATAGAGAGGAGCATTTACAGCAATTAGTCTTGACATAGGATGTCATTTACTATGAAATACATTAAAACATAACTAAGAGGAAGGAACAAAAAATCTGCTGAAAAGACGGTTAGTTCTCCGTAAGTACTCTTCTGCACAAGTCTCAGCATGAATAAAATATGAATAGACAAGGATGAGCATTTTTACTGAGTGAATCTGAATTTTATGCCCAATGAGGAAAAGGGAAATGCTACAATCTGCATCTGTGTCCATGATCTAGTGCAATTTGATCTTTGTCAGAGGCACCTCTTCGCAACCAGGCAGACACATTCTGTTCTGGTGCAGGACGTGACAATTACAGGACTAGTATCAATGCAGTAAATCAATACAAATCTACAGCAAAAGCTATTCAATGAAAAAAACAGTAAAAGACAGGAAGGCTTGAAGTGGGACATTTGGTTTTCTTTTGTGAAGATACTTATGGAAAAGCAATTTGCTGTTCCACAGGTAGCTTCAGGCGCCGATTTTCAAGAATTGTGTCTACGCTACATTTGGCATGAAACTTCTTATATTGCGAAGACACTGGGAAATGACAGTAACTCCTGAAGAACAAATAGCCAAGTTGTGATAATACAGGAAAGGGTGGGGGGGGAACAGAGGTATTTAGAAAGACCCAGAAAGAACAGTATTTTCCCACGTACAGAAAAGTTAACACAGAACTTTGCTAATATGTTTCACATATGTTGGAGCCAGAGTTGAAGACTGCTTAGCTTCTGTACTGAAAACTGGAGTACAATAGAAAATGAAACAACACTGGAAGCTAAAACTCACTGGAGGTGTATGTTTTGGGTTTAAAACAAAAAAAAACAGCAGGGACTTTGTTGTTCTGAATCAAGTCAGAGGTAGACTAGCATTTGGACTGCAGAAAATCAGACGTATGAACTGATCGTGTTCCAGAGTGCAAAGACCAACACATTCTGGGAGACTACTGAAGTTTGGATGTAGTTTTGCTTAAGAGAACTCTGTTCTTTGGAAGCATCTTGCATTTTAGTTTAGGGTTCACCTGTAATGACTGTCATGGTAGAGTCCATTCACTGTAAGACTTAACAGCAACTAGGGACTCACCAGACTTCAGCAGGTCCCCCCCGTTTCTGAAAATACAGCAAGCTGAGATCACATGCTGTTGTATAATACATCCAAAAAGTAATCCTTTCCCAGTCTGGGATCAGACCTAGATTTGAGTGCAAGCCTTCAGAGGTCTGAGAGGTGAAGGAGCAGATCTGCCATATGAACACAAGCCCAGTTTCTCTCCTATCACAATCATCTGACAACCAGTGGAGGACCGGAAGGGAACAACAGGAGGGGCAGGCACAAAAAAAAAATTCCTTATACAACATGTTTTCAGCACAACATTTTCTCAGGAAGCAGAAAGAGACAAGGAAACCTAGATATTACTCACAAGAAATATATTTACATTATCCACAAAGAATTTCAAGAAACTTGCCAGCTGCATTGTACGGTCAGCTCCTCCTGCTGACAAAAACAAGCTCAAAATGCACTCTTCTTCTGTACAGAATTATTTTTCCACGGCTGCCTGGAGAAAAGGATAAAGTGTTTTGCTTTTTCCTTTCCTCCCTTGCCCATCCAGAAGTGAATTGCACAGGGAAGGCAGCATTTGCCAGCAAAACCAACAACCATCCTGTTAAACAGATGCCACATAGCAAATCCACGTAAAATACCCTCCATCTGTATTCAAAAAAGGATATAGAGAAGCCTACCTAGCTTCTCAGGCTGGTTTTGAAGTTTAATAAATGTGTTAGTACCAGGTGTAACATCAACCACCTCTGATCCAGAGACAGGGGAGCTGCACCTTGCACAGGAGACAACACAACAAAAACTGGGGAGCTGCACCTTGCACAGGAGACAACACTCCGCAACAAAAATTATGGTCGGACTTGGTGACCTTAAAGGTCTTTTCCAACCTAAATAATTCTATGGTTCTATGAAAAATGATTATGCTTAAAGACATGAGGGTCTCTTCAATAGACTTAAAAGTGGTTGTGGTGATTTTCTTCCAATAAGGACTACAAATGACATAGGATTTAGAGAAGTTTCAATGACAGAGAAAAAAATGTCATGGTAGCTCTGTGCAGCCAGAGGTGGCTGTGGAAAACGTTTTGTATAGGGGAAAATCATACATAAATTAAGGGGAGAAAAAAAAAAAAGAACTGCAGGATTTACTAGTAAATTAATGTGTGTCTGTGGAAAAGCTGATAAAACTCCAGATAATAGGCACCAAACATATTTATGTGAGGAAACCGAGCATGGCAGCTTCTGCCATGCTGCCCACCCTGACGGGCTGCTCCCCACAGACAATGCGGATGAGCAAAATCCGGTGTGAAACCTCTGTGCAGCCAGAGGTGGCTGTGGAAAACATTTTGGATAGTGGAAAATCATACATAAATTAAGGGGGGGGGGGAAGGAGTGCAGGATTTACTAGTAAATTAATGTGTATCTGTGGAAAAGCTGATAAAACTCCAGATGAGAGGCACCAAAGACATATACGTGAAGAAACCGAGCATGGCAGCTTCTGCCATACTGCCTGCCCTGCTCCCCACAGACACCAGGGACAACGGGGATGAGCACAATCCGGTGTGGAGTGGCAACACCTGTGGAAATGCACCCCAAAAAGCATCTGAAAACCACCTCATTATGTGCTGCACCTCTCACTTGCTGCTTACAAAGCCTCTCAAAAGCGTCTGTTTCAACACAAGGAGATGAATCCGTGAGGACGCAGCTGAGGGACCTGGGATCCCCATCTGAGGCACCCCTTACCCCAGGGTAGTGCTCAGCCTTGCAAGTCTTTGTGCACCTTGTTTTCTTCAGTGTTATTTCCCTGTTTATAATCTGCTTTGCAGGCAGGACTGACTCACCCCTTTGCTGGTCACAGGCTGTGGGAAGCAGCAGCGCGGCCGGGCTGTGGCCCCCCTGAGGCAGACATGGCGGCGTGGCAGCCTGCAGCACCCCCTGCCACCACAGTCGGGTTCAAATGCCAGATGGGGCAGCCCTGACACTTAAAAAGTGAAGTGAAAAGAAAAAAAAGAGGGAAAAAAAAAAAAAAAGAAAGGGGAGAAAAGAGAAAAAGAGCCTCTCAGCACGGCAGGGGTTGCAGGCAAGGGGCTGGGCATCCGGGGGGGGGGGGGGAATAAAAGAGAAGGGATAAAAGAGAAAAAGAGCCTCTCAGCACAACAGGGATTGCAGGCAAA